TTAAATAAGTAGGGCTTTCAAAGATTTCAAACTTTTTTGTATAAATGTACGTTTATTGTTATTGTTTTTCCACCTGGTTGGGCCGTGAGTTTGTGTTGCCGCCAAGCAAAAGTGTATCTTATATGATTACTCGACAAATCAATGTAATCTATAGAATACTCGATTACTAAAAATTATTTTAGCTGCAGCCCTACACATAATTAATGCATGGGGGTTCAGTAAATATGATCATCGAAGAGGTGTAGCAGTACCGCTGTGCATGGTGAGCATAAACAAACCTTCTTGAGCAGAAATGGGCCAGTTCAAACCAAAGATTTGTGACTTGCAACTCCCGGCAACGTACCTTCGGGATCAATGTTGATGTCATCCAGTGTCTTGCCCTTGAATTCTGCCAGGCGTCCCTGATCCAGAGCCATGAGGACTTTGCTAATTTTTGCAAGTTGGAGGGTACCTTCAGGAAGTCTGTAGAACTGCCGGTGCACTCTAATATCATGCCCAAGAAAATTTGCTAACTGATCCAGCTCTGTATTACTGAGGTTGAGAACTTGAGACAGTGTTCCAGTTTGTTTTCGAAGTTTCGTAGAAGTGAGACTTTCCGGACTTTTTGCACCACAGACCTTGGCAAAGTGTCGAAGGCAATCAGACCCACGGTAACAGGTCAAAGCGTTTGGTCTTGCAAAAAGGTAAATGTTCTCCTGAGGAACCTCACAAACCTCCCGTGAGCCGACGAGCAGATCCAACCCTTGCTTCATCATTGGGGTCAAAAGCACAGGAACTTTTCTTCCCCTTTTTCCTCTTATCTCAATCCTGCTGAAATGCTGACAGAGTTTCTTCTCTAGATCTGAGAGGGCTTCATTCACATCTTCATGTGGGTCTGATGGATTTTGACATACATATGAAGAAAGGGTCATTTTTGACACCTCCCCAGCTCTTCGTCGATTAAACAAAATGACTTGTGCCAAAATGACCTTTGCCAGTTTTGCCCACGTGTGGGGGGATGCCTCTATAGACAGTTTACCGTGAAGATCTTGTTGTTGCACATCCAAATACGAATGGAGAGTCTGGACATCTTTTGTGAATGGAAGCAACAGAGGAGTATTCCACTTAGACTCCTGAAGTGTTCTCAGTGATGCAGCTGATATCATTTCATTCCATCTGGTTTCATACACTCTGCGGAATGTACGAGCATCTTTTGCAGCACTGTAGTCATTCTGAACATTTGCACGGCTTTCAAGCAGCATTGAAATCTTTGTCAAGTTATGTCCAGTTTTGAGAGCTAGACTCGGGCACTTGTATGCATGGGTTTTACTGTCAAAGCCTGCTAAGTGTTTCACTGATTCCACAACTTGCATAAAATTGGCAGGTTTGATGTGATCTTTAATGGTCTTCAAGGAAGTGGTTTTTCTTGAGCATATCAGAAGCCTTCCTAGCTCTCTCATTTTCTGTCGGATGTATTCATGCTTACCAACATCATATCCAAGCCTGTTAAACAAATGCTCACCATACTCCATGATACAGGCATCCGATTTCAGTACAGAATAAACTTCATCTTGAACCATGTTGTTTAGCAGCTTCCAAAATTCCACCTTGACACCAGGTGGTGGAGGTGCTGCAAATGCGCAGAGGGCCTGGACACGGGTTTTGCCAGGTTTTTGTGGAACATTCGGCTTGAACTTGCATTTCATCATGTGCCGCCAAAGAATTTTCTTTGTGAAGAAACCATGACAATGTACACAATGCAGGAAATTCTGTGCTTGACAATCCTTCCTTGGTTGCTTGCGAGGAACAAGATTTCCAACACCAGCATTTAATACATCCACATTGTGTGCAAAGTTGCCCCTGTTTCTCAAATGTTCCATATGCATTCGTCTTTGTTTGGAGCCTTTTGGAAAGGACAGAGCCTGTGCAACCTCTGGTTTATCTTTATGAGCGCGCTCCAAATGCCTTGCCATTTTCACGAATCCCACCCTACAGTACAAACAGTATTGCTTTTTGTTGTACATTCTTGCCCCGTTCTCCTTTTTACAGACAGCAGGTATGGAAAGCGAACCATCAGCTACTTCTTCTGTATGGAGGGAAGAGGCATTGTCAGGAAGATCTTTCTCCAGATCAGGTGTTGTATTCTGTATTACAGATTCAGGGTCTCCCCCTCCACTCCATTTTGTTGAGTGACCACTACTTGCTTGTGTTGTAGGGTAGGATGCACGTCTTGAACTGCTTGAACATCGCCTTTTACGTGTCATACCAGAGTTGCCCTCTCTTCTTGAAGGTGAGCGTCCTCTGCTAAGGATTTGCGTCGAAGACACATCGTTCAGTTCTCGGATGTCAGCGTACTTCCCTTGGATTGGAAATCTAAGCATGCTTTCTTTCTGATTGACTGGTTCAATGACTTCGCTTGTGTCTGTATCTTCAGATGAATCCTCACTACTCTTAGGAATATATTCCTCTCCACTGCTGGCTGAGCTGTCAAAAAGCTCATTTGAATCAAACTCAACATTTCTTTTCATCTTCAGAAAAGAAAAAGTGAAGTCAAAGTCAGTGCATGGATTAAATATTACTTTTGTGTTGCGTACAAGACGCCAAGTATGTTAAGTATGTACATCCATCTTCTACATTGTGAGTTGCTTACCTGTATGCTTTTGGTCCTCCTCAGCCTTGGAACAGAATCTCCGTCCTGGTGGGTGAGGCTTAGTTCAAACTCAGAAGTCGGACACCATGTCTAGAGTATTGAAAAAATACACAATTACCATTTAAACCCAAGGACAAGGGAGAAATAGGTACTGAAAGCAAAACCAATAGTGTTTGAGCTTATTGATACTATATTTCAGTACCCATTCCTGTAAAAATACATGCAAATGGCAAAAAAAAAATAAAAAAATTACCTGGCAGCTTGAATTAAACTGGTCATGATTTGGGCTTGGACTCTGAGATTCATCAGAATCTGTGTAGTCCACCAGGGAAGGATTCATTCCAACTTTGTTCATTGAAGGTAAGGGTTCTGGATTATGTAAGCACTATAGAACATCAAAGACATGATATGAATGACAACACGCATTCATAAATGTATACCTATGTACATCAAATGGTATTTCAGAAACATTGGAAATCCTCACTTAATCTTAATATTTTTGAAAAAAAGAAAAGAAAATTGGCATACAAATGGCTTAAATATATGGCAAAGACTGCAACTGCCTATATTTTTTTGGCCCTATAAAGCCAAAAAAAAAAAAAATCTCTGTAAGCTGCTTTGAAACAATCTACATTTCTAAAAGGTCTGTATAAATGAAGATGACTTGACATTAGCCAGATTGTAGAGGAAGAGCATTTAATAATAAAAGCTACAATAAAAGTTTAAAGTGAGTTATGCATAATGCATTATTTAGTGAAGTGTTAAAGTAAAAGTTAAGTGACAGTAAAAGAGACAGACTAGTACCTGTGCCTTGAAGCTGGATGATCTCGGAGGAGTCTGCTCTGTTGTTCTGAAGAGGTCAGCCTCAGAAGACTCAGTGGCATCCAATGGTTTGTCCTGAAGAATGAGTTAACATTATTATTGAATAGATGGTCAGCAGTAGCATTACTTCAGTGGAAACAACATTAACACATGTGAGACACAGGAGACATGCATGTGGTGGCAATGTTTACATGTTTCCTGTATCTGAGGCTAAATCCAAGTTACTTTTGATGGGTTTAAGTTGGCTGTGATTTCTGTCATATCTATGTTGCCTGCTATAAGACAGCTCTAACCGTCACAGTTGAGGAAGTAGTAAAAATGAAGTGTGGCATGACTGAATTCAGCTGTAGCCAAGAGCTAGTATGACTTGGAGAAAGCAAACTCATCTAAAGTTCAATGACACATGATGTAGAATGTATACGTTTAGACTTCTAGACAGAAAAGAGTCAATAAAGTGTTCCAATGTCTACATTAATTTTTAGTTAGCGTGGACCCCACAATGGCAAGAGACCTGACAAGTGTGTGTATCACAAGGAGTGATCGCCACTAAACACTGGTCCTACTGACTGGTCCCCATGAAACCACAAAAACCAGAATGTGCTCAGAAGTTTATATTGGACTAAGGATATACATTGATGTATACACATCTAAAAATGTACTTCCATGAAGAAGTTAACAATTAAGAAGACGCCTCGAAACTAAAAAGTAGAAGGTTCGAACCTAAAGGAGGAACCAGTGAAAGACAGTAAAAGAGACCGACTAGTACCTGTGTCTTGAAGCTGGATGATCTCAGAGGAGTCTGCTCTGTTGTTCTGAAGAGGTCAGCCTCAGAAGACTCAGTGGCATCCAATGGTTTGTCCTGAAGAATGAGTTAACATTATTATTGAATAGATGGTCAGCAGTAGCATTACTTCAGTGGAAACAACATTAACACATGTGAGACACAGGAGACATGCATGTGGTGGCAATGTTTACATGTTTCCTGTATCTGAGGCTAAATCCAAGTTACTTTTCATGGGTTTAAGTTGGCTGTGATTTCTGTCATATCTATGTTGCCTGCTATAAGACAGCTCTAACCGTCACAGTTGAGGAAGTAGTAAAAATGAAGTGTGGCATGACTGAATTCAGCTGTAGCCAAGAGCTAGTATGACTTGGAGAAAGCAAACTCATCTAAAGTTCAATGACACATGATGTAGAATGTATACGTTTAGACTTCTAGACAGAAAAGAGTCAATGAAGTGTTCCAATGTCTACATTAATTTTTAGTTAGCGTGGACCCCACAATGGCAAGAGACCTGACAAGTGTGTGTATCACAAGGAGTGATCGCCACTAAACACTGGTCCTACTGACTGGTCCCCATGAAACCACAAAAACCAGAATGTGCTCAGAAGTTTATATTGGACTAAGGATATACATTGATGTATACACATCTAAAAATGTACTTCCATGAAGAAGTTAACAATTAAGAAGACGCCTCGAAACTAAAAAGTAGAAGGTTCGAACCTAAAGGAGGAACCAGTGAAAGACAGTAAAAGAGACCGACTAGTACCTGTGTCTTGAAGCTGGATGATCTCGGAGGAGTCTGCTCTGTTGTTCTGAAGAGGTCAGCCTCAGAAGACTCAGTGGCATCCAATGGTTTGTCCTGAAGAATGAGTTAACATTATTATTGAATAGATGGTCAGCAGTAGCATTACTTCAGTGGAAACAACATTAACACATGTGAGACACAGGAGACATGCATGTGGTGGCAATGTTTACATGTTTCCTGTATCTGAGGCTAAATCCAAGTTACTTTTGATGGGTTTAAGTTGGCTGTGATTTCTGTCATATCTATGTTGCCTGCTATAAGACAGCTCTAACCGTCACAGTTGAGGAAGTAGTAAAAATGAAGTGTGGCATGACTGAATTCAGCTGTAGCCAAGAGCTAGTATGACTTGGAGAAAGCAAACTCATCTAAAGTTCAATGACACATGATGTAGAATGTATACGTTTAGACTTCTAGACAGAAAAGAGTCAATAAAGTGTTCCAATGTCTACATTAATTTTTAGTTAGCGTGGACCCCACAATGACAAGAGACCTGACAAGTGTGTGTATCACAAGGAGTGATCGCCACTAAACACTGGTCCTACTGACTGGTCCCCATGAAACCACAAAAACCAGAATGTCCGCAGAAGTTTATATTGGACTAAGGATATACATTGATGTATACACATCTAAAAATGTACTTCCATGAAGAAGTTAACAATTAAGAAGACGCCTCGAAACTAAAAAAGTAGAAGGTTCGAACCTAATGGAGGAACCAGTGAAAGACAGTAAAAGAGACCGACTAGTACCTGTGTCTTGAAGCTGGATGATCTCGGAGGAGTCTGCTCTGTTGCTCTGAAGAGGTCAGCCTCAGAAGACTCAGTGGCATCCAATGGTTTGTCCTGAAGAATGAGTTAACATTATTATTGAATAGATGGTCAGCAGTAGCATTAATTCAGTGGAAACAACATTAACACATGTGAGACACAGGAGACATGCATGTGGTGGCAATGTTTACATGTTTCCTGTATCTGAGGCTAAATCCAAGTTACTTTTGATGGGTTTAAGTTGGCTGTGATTTCTGTCATATCTATGTTGCCTGCTATAAGACAGCTCTAACCGTCACAGTCGAGGAAGTAGTAAAAATGAAGTGTGGCATGACTGAATTCAGCTGTAGCCAAGAGCTAGTATGACTTGGAGAAAGCAAACTCATCTAAAGTTCAATGACACATGATGTAGAATGTATACGTTTAGACTTCTAGACAGAAAAGAGTCAATGAAGTGTTCCAATGTCTACATTAATTTTTAGTTAGCGTGGACCCCACAATGACAAGAGACCTGACAAGTGTGTGTATCACAAGGAGTGATCGCCACTAAACACTGGTCCTACTGACTGGTCCCCATGAAACCACAAAAACCAGAATGTGCTCAGAAGTTTATATTGGACTAAGGATATACATTGATGTATACACATCTAAAAATGTACTTCCATGAAGAAGTTAACAATTAAGAAGACGCCTCGAAACTAAAAAGTAGAAGGTTCGAACCTAAAGGAGGAACCAGTGAAAGACAGTAAAAGAGACCGACTAGTACCGGTGTCTTGAAGCTGGATGATCTCGGAGGAGTCTGCTCTGTTGCTCTGAAGAGGTCAGCCTCAGAAGACTCAGTGGCATCCAATGGTTTGTCCTGAAGAATGAGTTAACATTATTATTGAATAGATGGTCAGCAGTAGCATTACTTCAGTGGAAACAACATTAACACATGTGAGACACAGGAGACATGCATGTGGTGGCAATGTTTACATGTTTCCTGTATCTGAGGCTAAATCCAAGTTACTTTTGATGGGTTTAAGTTGGCTGTGATTTCTGTCATATCTATGTTGCCTGCTATAAGACAGCTCTAACCGTCACAGTTGAGGAAGTAGTAAAAATGAAGTGTGGCATGACTGAATTCAGCTGTAGCCAAGAGCTAGTATGACTTGGAGAAAGCAAACTCATCTAAAGTTCAATGACACATGATGTAGAATGTATACGTTTAGACTTCTAGACAGAAAAGAGTCAATGAAGTGTTCCAATGTCTACATTAATTTTTAGTTAGCGTGGACCCCACAATGGCAAGAGACCTGACAAGTGTGTGTATCACAAGGAGTGATCGCCACTAAACACTGGTCCTACTGACTGGTCCCCATGAAACCACAAAAACCAGAATGTGCTCAGAAGTTTATATTGGACTAAGGATATACATTGATGTATACACATCTAAAAATGTACTTCCATGAAGAAGTTAACAATTAAGAAGACGCCTCGAAACTAAAAAGTAGAAGGTTCGAACCTAAAGGAGGAACCAGTGAAAGACAGTAAAAGAGACCGACTAGTACCTGTGTCTTGAAGCTGGATGATCTCGGAGGAGTCTGCTCTGTTGTTCTGAAGAGGTCAGCCTCAGAAGACTCAGTGGCATCCAATGGTTTGTCCTGAAGAATGAGTTAACATTATTATTGAATAGATGGTCAGCAGTAGCATTACTTCAGTGGAAACAACATTAACACATGTGAGACACAGGAGACATGCATGTGGTGGCAATGTTTACATGTTTCCTGTATCTGAGGCTAAATCCAAGTTACTTTTCATGGGTTTAAGTTGGCTGTGATTTCTGTCATATCTATGTTGCCTGCTATAAGACAGCTCTAACCGTCACAGTTGAGGAAGTAGTAAAAATGAAGTGTGGCATGACTGAATTCAGCTGTAGCCAAGAGCTAGTATGACTTGGAGAAAGCAAACTCATCTAAAGTTCAATGACACATGATGTAGAATGTATACGTTTAGACTTCTAGACAGAAAAGAGTCAATGAAGTGTTCCAATGTCTACATTAATTTTTAGTTAGCGTGGACCCCACAATGGCAAGAGACCTGACAAGTGTGTGTATCACAAGGAGTGATCGCCACTAAACACTGGTCCTACTGACTGGTCCCCATGAAACCACAAAAACCAGAATGTCCGCAGAAGTTTATATTGGACTAAGGATATACATTGATGTATACACATCTAAAAATGTACTTCCATGAAGAAGTTAACAATTAAGAAGACACCTCGAAACTAAAAAAGTAGAAGGTTCGAACCTAATGGAGGAACCAGTGAAAGACAGTAAAAGAGACCGACTAGTACCTGTGTCTTGAAGCTGGATGATCTCGGAGGAGTCTGCTCTGTTGCTCTGAAGAGGTCAGCCTCAGAAGACTCAGTGGCATCCAATGGTTTGTCCTGAAGAATGAGTTAACATTATTATTGAATAGATGGTCAGCAGTAGCATTACTTCAGTGGAAACAACATTAACACATGTGAGACACAGGAGACACGCATGTGGTGGCAATGTTTACATGTTTCCTGTATCTGAGGCTAAATCCAAGTTACTTTTGATGGGTTTAAGTTGGCTGTGATTTCTGTCATATCTATGTTGCCTGCTATAAGACAGCTCTAACCGTCACAGTCGAGGAAGTAGTAAAAATGAAGTGTGGCATGACTGAATTCAGCTGTAGCCAAGAGCTAGTATGACTTGGAGAAAGCAAACTCATCTAAAGTTCAATGACACATGATGTAGAATGTATACGTTTAGACTTCTAGACAGAAAAGAGTCAATGAAGTGTTCCAATGTCTACATTAATTTTTAGTTAGCGTGGACCCCACAATGGCAAGAGACCTGACAAGTGTGTGTATCACAAGGAGTGATCGCCACTAAACACTGGTCCTACTGACTGGTCCCCATGAAACCACAAAAACCAGAATGTGCTCAGAAGTTTATATTGGACTAAGGATATACATTGATGTATACACATCTAAAAATGTACTTCCATGAAGAAGTTAACAATTAAGAAGACGCCTCGAAACTAAAAAGTAGAAGGTTCGAACCTAAAGGAGGAACCAGTGAAAGACAGTAAAAGAGACCGACTAGTACCTGTGTCTTGAAGCTGGATGATCTCGGAGGAGTCTGCTCTGTTGTTCTGAAGAGGTCAGCCTCAGAAGACTCAGTGGCATCCAATGGTTTGTCCTGAAGAATGAGTTAACATTATTATTGAATAGATGGTCAGCAGTAGCATTACTTCAGTGGAAACAACATTAACACATGTGAGACACAGGAGACATGCATGTGGTGGCAATGTTTACATGTTTCCTGTATCTGAGGCTAAATCCAAGTTACTTTTCATGGGTTTAAGTTGGCTGTGATTTCTGTCATATCTATGTTGCCTGCTATAAGACAGCTCTAACCGTCACAGTTGAGGAAGTAGTAAAAATGAAGTGTGGCATGACTGAATTCAGCTGTAGCCAAGAGCTAGTATGACTTGGAGAAAGCAAACTCATCTAAAGTTCAATGACACATGATGTAGAATGTATACGTTTAGACTTCTAGACAGAAAAGAGTCAATGAAGTGTTCCAATGTCTACATTAATTTTTAGTTAGCGTGGACCCCACAATGACAAGAGACCTGACAAGTGTGTGTATCACAAGGAGTGATCGCCACTAAACACTGGTCCTACTGACTGGTCCCCATGAAACCACAAAAACCAGAATGTGCTCAGAAGTTTATATTGGACTAAGGATATACATTGATGTATACACATCTAAAAATGTACTTCCATGAAGAAGTTAACAATTAAGAAGACGCCTCGAAACTAAAAAGTAGAAGGTTCGAACCTAAAGGAGGAACCAGTGAAAGACAGTAAAAGAGACCGACTAGTACCTGTGTCTTGAAGCTGGATGATCTCAGAGGAGTCTGCTCTGTTGTTCTGAAGAGGTCAGCCTCAGAAGACTCAGTGGCATCCAATGGTTTGTCCTGAAGAATGAGTTAACATTATTATTGAATAGATGGTCAGCAGTAGCATTACTTCAGTGGAAACAACATTAACACATGTGAGACACAGGAGACATGCATGTGGTGGCAATGTTTACATGTTTCCTGTATCTGAGGCTAAATCCAAGTTACTTTTGATGGGTTTAAGTTGGCTGTGATTTCTGTCATATCTATGTTGCCTGCTATAAGACAGCTCTAACCGTCACAGTCGAGGAAGTAGTAAAAATGAAGTGTGGCATGACTGAATTCAGCTGTAGCCAAGAGCTAGTATGACTTGGAGAAAGCAAACTCATCTAAAGTTCAATGACACATGATGTAGAATGTATATGTTTAGACTTTAGAAGTTTCAATAATAGGTACAAAGAAACTGTGGTTGTTTTAGGACACATGAGGTAAGAGTAATATACACAATGTATATCTGTAAAAAGTTGTTAAATTGATTTGGTCTTTTAGATGATGATTCCATGATTCCAAAACTAATCTGAGGCAGAAACATCAGCATTGGTTTAAATCTGGGTAAAATAAAACTATCATTCTGACTTTTTTTTACAACAAAGCCAATATTCAACATTTTTTGACAAACCTGTTTCCTCCAAGGCCAATCAATTCCACCATAGTCATAAGTTATCTCTTCTCCTTCAGTAATGTCCTTTAAAGCAAATAGGCAGAGGTGTGGTTTTCCCTCTGTTATGACCCTCTTCATTTTGCAGTTCGGATTCTTGTGGCAATCATTAACCAGACGCCCAAAACTGGAATCCTCTCTAGCTGCATCAATACTTTTGAAAGGTGACAAACCAAAAAGGTACAGATTAGGCTCAGTATAATTACATTATAATTACATGATGGCTAAAGTTGCAAAAAACAAGACAATTTTTATCACACATCTGTTTGCGATATGAACTCGACTGATGGGCAAGCCTTACCACCATGTTTTTTCTTTCCAGTAGAAGTCAAACATGAAAACACCACATCTATTGTGATATGTTCTCCTCCTCCTCTGAGATTCTTCAGAATTGATCAATTCTCCTCTGTATTCCACCACAAAGTCTCCTTTTCTGAAATGGGACTTGGCAAACACCCCTCGACCTAGTGCACACACATAATTACACTTTTGCAGCCTAAGGTTGGGTGATATGGCCTAAAAATAAAATATCATATTGTATTTTTTTTTAATTCGATTTACGATTTTTTTTAAGGAAAGCAATAAGTACAAACGGAGCAGGAGCGTCGCTTGAGCATGTTAATCAATGAGTGCATTCACACCGGGAACCGGAGCGTCGAGCAGGAGCGTCGCGTGAGCATGTTAATCAATGAGTGCATTCACACCGGGAACCGGAGCGTCGAGCAGGAGCGTCGCGTGAGCATGTTAATCATTGAGTGCATTCACACCGGGAACCGGAGCGTCGAGCAGGAGCGTCGCTTGAGCATGTTAATCAATGAGTGCATTCACACCGGGAACCGGAGCGTCGAGCAGGAGCGTCGCGTGAGCATGTTAATCATTGAGTGCATTCACACCGGGAATCGGAGCGTCGAGCAGGAGCGTCGCGTGAGCATGTTAATCATTGAGTGCATTCACACCGGGAACCGGAGCGTCGAGCAGGAGCGTCGCGTGAGCATGTTAATCATTGAGTGCATTCACACCGGGAACCGGAGCGTCGAGCAGGAGCGTCGCGTGAGCATGTTAATCAATGAGTGCATTCACACCGGGAACCGGAGCGTCGAGCAGGAGCGTCGCGTGAGCATGTTAATCAATGAGTGCATTCACACCGGGAACCGGAGCGTCGAGCAGGAGCGTCGCGTGAGCATGTTAATCAATGAGTGCATTCACACCGGGAACCGGAGCGTCGAGCAGGAGCGTCGCGTGAGCATGTTAATCATTGAGTGCATTCACACCGGGAACCGGAGCGTCGAGCAGGAGCGTCGCGTGAGCATGTTAATCAATGAGTGCATTCACACCGGGAACCGGAGCGTCGAGCAGGAGCGTCGCGTGAGCATGTTAATCATTGAGTGCATTCACACCGGGAACCGGAGCGTCGAGCAGGAGCGTCGCGTGAGCATGTTAATCATTGAGTGCATTCACACCGGGAACCGGAGCGTCGAGCAGGAGCGTCGCTTGAGCATGTTAATCAATGAGTGCATTCACACCGGGAACCGGAGCGTCGAGCAGGAGCGTCGCGTGAGCATGTTAATCATTGAGTGCATTCACACCGGGAACCGGAGCGTCGAGCAGGAGCGTCGCTTGAGCATGTTAATCAATGAGTGCATTCACACCGGGAACCGGAGCGTCGAGCAGGAGCGTCGCGTGAGCATGTTAATCATTGAGTGCATTCACACCGGGAACCGGAGCGTCGAGCAGGAGCGTCGCGTGAGCATGTTAATCATTGAGTGCATTCACACCGGGAACCGGAGCGTCGAGCAGGAGCGTCGCGTGAGCATGTTAATCAATGAGTGCATTCACACCGGGAACCGGAGCGTCGAGCAGGAGCGTCGCGTGAGCATGTTAATCATTGAGTGCATTCACACCGGGAACCGGAGCGTCGAGCAGGAGCGTCGCTTGAGCATGTTAATCAATGAGTGCATTCACACCGGGAACCGGAGCGTCGAGCAGGAGCGTCGCGTGAGCATGTTAATCATTGAGTGCATTCACACCGGGAACCGGAGCGTCGAGCAGGAGCGTCGCGTGAGCATGTTAATCATTGAGTGCATTCACACCGGGAACCGGAGCGTCGAGCAGGAGCGTCGCGTGAGCATGTTAATCAATGAGTGCATTCACACCGGGAACCGGAGCGTCGAGCAGGAGCGTCGCGTGAGCATGTTAATCATTGAGTGCATTCACACCGGGAACCGGAGCGTCGAGCAGGAGCGTCGCGTGAGCATGTTAATCATTGAGTGCATTCACACCGGGAACCGGAGCGTCGAGCAGGAGCGTCGCGTGAGCATGTTAATCAATGAGTGCATTCACACCGGGAACCGGAGCGTCGAGCAGGAGCGTCGCGTGAGCATGTTAATCATTGAGTGCATTCACACCGGGAACCGGAGCGTCGAGCAGGAGCGTCGCGTGAGCATGTTAATCATTGAGTGCATTCACACCGGGAACCGGAGCGTCGAGCAGGAGCGTCGCTTGAGCATGTTAATCAATGAGTGCATTCACACCGGGAACCGGAGCGTCGAGCAGGAGCGTCGCGTGAGCATGTTAATCATTGAGTGCATTCACACCGGGAACCGGAGCGTCGAGCAGGAGCGTCGCTTGAGCATGTTAATCAATGAGTGCATTCACACCGGGAACCGGAGCGTCGAGCAGGAGCGTCGCGTGAGCATGTTAATCATTGAGTGCATTCACACCGGGAACCGGAGCGTCGAGCAGGAGCGTCGCGTGAGCATGTTAATCATTGAGTGCATTCACACCGGGAACCGGAGCGTCGAGCAGGAGCGTCGCGTGAGCATGTTAATCAATGAGTGCATTCACACCGGGAACCGGAGCGTCGAGCAGGAGCGTCGCGTGAGCATGTTAATCATTGAGTGCATTCACACCGGGAACCGGAGCGTCGAGCAGGAGCGTCGCTTGAGCATGTTAATCAATGAGTGCATTCACACCGGGAACCGGAGCGTCGAGCAGGAGCGTCGCGTGAGCATGTTAATCATTGAGTGCATTCACACCGGGAACCGGAGCGTCGAGCAGGAGCGTCGCGTGAGCATGTTAATCATTGAGTGCATTCACACCGGGAACCGGAGCGTCGAGCAGGAGCGTCGCGTGAGCATGTTAATCATTGAGTGCATTCACACCGGGAACCGGAGCGTCGAGCAGGAGCGTCGCGTGAGCATGTTAATCAATGAGTGCATTCACACCGGGAACCGGAGCGTCGAGCAGGAGCGTCGCTTGAGCATGTTAATCAATGAGTGCATTCACACCGGGAACCGGAGCGTCGAGCAGGAGCGTCGCGTGAGCATGTTAATCATTGAGTGCATTCACACCGGGAACCGGAGCGTCGAGCAGGAGCGTCGCGTGAGCATGTTAATCATTGAGTGCATTCACACCGGGAACCGGAGCGTCGAGCAGGAGCGTCGCTTGAGCATGTTAATCAATGAGTGCATTCACACCGGGAACCGGAGCGTCGAGCAGGAGCGTCGCTTGAGCATGTTAATCAATGAGTGCATTCACACCGGCAGCCGGAGCGGCACTTGAGCAGCAGTGAAGCGCGGTTTCGGCGCCCAGTCTATTTTTGCTGTACTCAGTTAAAGTGCTTTCAATAAAGTGAACAGCAATTTATCAAAACTAATAAAAATCATAAAAAAGGCACATACCTTTAAAAGAGTTAATGTATCGCACTTCTAACTCTGTTGTCTTGTCAAGGGCCTTCACAGCATGTTCTATGGCATCCTGTGTTGGTGGTTTTCTTCTTCGTGTGGCCATTGGAAATCCTACAATAAAAAAACAGTGCAGTTTTAGACCAATAGCCCCATAAATCTTACACTTAAAATTATTTATGTTATCTTAACATTAGACACTGGAGTATAACAGGACACTGCTTCTGGTCAAAGTTTAGCACTTTACATGCACAGGACGCTTACTATTATTGGAGTGATATGTGACAATTTACCTGCTGGTATCAACCCTAGACATTGCCTTTATGTACTGGCATTCACTGTCATGCCGAAAACTGATCATCCACCAAAAACTGACATCTGTCTGCTGGAGCTATATTGCCAAGTCTCTTCAACCACTTTCTGCTTTGTGAAATAGGCTACTGCATTTTATGTGTTGTATTGGCCATTTAAAGGTATTTTAAGAGGTAAAAATTACTAGGTGAGCTAATAACTGTATATAAATATAGCTCTTCTAAATGAAATCAACTAATTTCTGGGCAGAAATAACCTTTCAGTCAATAAGAAAAGGCTTCAATCATTTTCTGGTAAGTGAAATACTTACTTTCATTTGTTTTATTGGCCATTTAGAAGTATTTTAACAGAAAAAGGACTGATTTGGTTGATAGGCCTATCAGTACAGCAAGTAAAACAATGCAGTCATGAGGATAATTGTAAAATTCTCTTCATTTTATATCTAAGTCGGTAGTGAGTCATGTTAACCAGCCTATAGAGCCCTTTTCCAAATATAAACAAAGATATTAGTCATAATTAAGCCTTACAAACATCAGTTTTCAGCAGACGATCACTTTTCGGAAAGTGCATGATTAAGTTAGCACGTGCATGCATGTGAACGGCCAGGTGATTTGTGTTTGTCAATTAGAAAATTGATAGAGAACAATTCTGAAACACAGTTAAAACGACTGGTAACTGAATAAATTTAGTGACTGCTGCTGCTAAAACTGACTGCTGCTGCTAAAACGTTTCTTAGTCAATTGGCATAATGTTGGTGTTAACTAATTAGCTACTTAATTGTTAGCTAACGTCACCGTTAGCCAAGAGTAAAACATGTAACTTAACGTTAAGTATGCTTTTCTAGTATGCTTTTAAACGTTTTCATGCTGCACTTAAATCGTATAAAATTGGAATAAATCTTTAAGTCACATAGGCATAACTTACCTTTTTATATTTAAACCAGTCTTGTCACCTCACGCTGACTCCGAAATGGCGTCCTTTTCTCTCCTCGTGTGTGGAGTACGGATGGGCGTATGGATATGAAGTGGGGAAAAAAGCCGGACCTATGTTGCCCTCTAAAACTTAACTTCGTTTAATTAATATAACCAATCGAATCATCTAAAAATCAATCGTATCTTTGCTTTGACGTGCCAAGCAGAAAAAAAAAAAAAAAAATATATATATATATATATATATATATATATATATATGTATTCAAATGTTTAGGGTTGCAAAAATCCTTTATTTAATGTAACTATTTTGGAAATGTCTACATTTTGAAAATTCATGTTTCAGTGAAATATACAATGTTATCATTATTCAGCACTTAATAAAAAAATAGCCTGTTTAGCAATTAATTTGTTAAGTTTCCTTAACATGAGCATAGCTTTAGCAATTAATTAAGTCATCGTTAACGGTTGACGTCAATGACGTGGCACATGCGCATTTTAGCCAGGTGTGTGTTCTGAAATTGAAAAGTGTGTTGAGGCTATACCATCATGTGCCACTAGTGGCCAGTACCGAGTTCCCCATCCTAAGCACACCTAAGCACAAACCGTTGGTTTTTATGCATTGTGAGGTTACCCCTGAAAACTTTACAGGGCATGTCATTGACCTTCTTTTCACTGAAAATGAGGTTCTTTTTGTGGGGACCAGGTTTTTGGTCCCCACAAAACTTGTGGTCCCCACGCTGTGACTGGGCTTACAGGTTAAGGTCCCCACTATGTGATAAAGACAAACACACACACACACACACACTAATTGGCTAATGTCATTGCATTGAAAACTTTTTTTTTTTCATTTTGAATAAAAGGATCAGCTACTGTAAATGAATAAATGTAAATGCACTGCTAGTAATTTTTTTTTCAGAATGAGCAGAACTTGTAAATTATAGGACATCTGAAATAATTTCTTCATATAGTTTAATTGCTGTTATATTATGCACAGAAACACATCAATACAGTGATTCACTCTATGGACACTTAATGCTTCTTAATCTAATATTCACAGAGTAAAATACAAAGCTCAAGACTGTGTTGCTTTCATCTGACCCCTGTGAATGAGCGATCACACTGTGGTTTGTGAATGCTATAGCCCTCTTTAGTTCTCAGTGGGGCACTGGATGTGTCTTCCTCTGCTAATCTGCTACTGTGAGCTGACAGATGTCTTCTGGATCTGAGGTCTCCACAGGCAGTCAGAGCCAGTTCACTCCAGGTTTAGCACTCTCACGAAACCCCACTGCTCAATCTCACTAGAGCCTACTGTCAAGAGAGGTGCATCACTCCTGAAACTACGTTCATATGTTGAGCCAGTTTGTAGAATATATGGACTGGAGTAGAACATCTGTGCACAAAAAGCAGCAGTAGGGCTTAGTGTTCCTGTGTGTGTGTGTGTGTGTGTGTGTGTGTGTGGTAAACGGTAAGTGCAAGTGACCTTTCTGTCACCACAAATGTTAAACTTTTTTTTTTTTTCAAAATGTGCTAAATAGATGCTCAGAAAAATATTGTTGTTGCTAAAGCACTTTCCATTATGATTTGTATAATACTGTAAATCAGGATAACAAGTGTCAATTAACTTTATTTTACATTTATGTAACAAGTACACTAACACAAGGTGTGGGTGACTTTTTTAAAAGAAATTACTGCTTTTATTCGACAAAGAGATCAAAAGTGACATTTTAATGTTACAAAAAAAAATCTGTTTCAGTGAATGCTGTTCATTCGAACTTCCTAAGGGTATCATAAAAATGGATTTAAAAAAATATTCAGCATCAAATCAGTATATTGGAAGGATTTTAAGGAACAGAGATTCAAGACAAGGTTACAATTGGGAAAATTGTGTCTGAAATTGACCCATGAGACCCCCTGAAATTGACCCATGAGACCCCCTGAAAGCCTCAAAAGCAAAATTTCAAGGGGGTCTCAAATTTTATATATATATATATATATAAAAAAAACATAAATAAATAAATAAAATAAATAAATAAATAAAATAACAATCACTACTGTCACTAAAATGTTTTTAAGCTTACCATGTCCAGTATTCAGAATTAAAAACATTTATTCACAATGTGTTTATTTTTTACAAAGCGGAGCCAGCCAGTCCTGTGCACGTATGCAAATTAGCTATATGTGCCAACATTAGAAACTTTGAGAAGTCACAAAAAATGGCTTCCAAGCGAAAAATAAATCACGTATCACTCACACACTTTGGGTTCACATCTAAAAAGTTGGCACTCAGAGATAAAGAGGCAACGAAAGACGATGCTGGTGCAGCACTCACTTCCAGAAAAGATCCGAGGATCTTCTCCCACCCAGTGACGCCTCAGAACATGTAATTGAAGCCGAGTGTTCCGAAGACGCGCCAAATGCTGAGGTAAAATTCGCTGCAACTGCTATACTAGCACAAGTAGGATTAGCATCTGTCCCATATTAGCCGGGACGCCCCGTATAATGAGCCTATTATGTGCCCTGTTTATTGACGGCACGCTGATCTAACTACCGACTAATACAACAGCAACACAACACTTCAGAATTATCACAACCTCGTCATCAATCAAAGTCCATACTCCCGCGCATCAGACCGATACGAATAAGTTAGCAAACTAAATTGATCATGGTTCCTCTGATCAGTAAATCAGTTTTCAGGCGAATTCAAACAACGTGAATGTTCATGATTCCAACAACATCCGCCCAACCACGCAAGAAAACATCTAACGTTACCTGAGGGAATAATATGCTGATGTGATTTGCTGATCAAGAAACATTTCTGATTTTCTTAATGTTAAAAATAAATGTCAGGATTCTTTGATGAAGATAATTTCAAGGAGATTTATCTGAAATAAAAAAGCTTTTGTAACATTATAAATGTCTTTACTGACCCTTCTGATTAATTTAATGCCTCATCCTTGCTGAATAATAGCCTAGGCTATTACAAGGCTCGAAATTCCTACAATTTTGGACACATTTTCTCCTCAAATTTAATCTGTGCGACTTAATATTATATTTAGGAGCGTTAAATTCGTTTTGCGTCCTTTAGGTGCGTTGATTTTGTCCCGCCGCGCTGTTTTCAATGTTGACACAAATGTTGTGATGTCCTATGATCATTGTGGTTTGTGTCTAATGTGATTTTTTTTGTATGAATATTATTATTACTCTTTATTTCAGACAAATAATGGTCCATATTACATACAAAAACAAACACAGAAAAAAAAAGAAAACACAAAAAACAATGCATTTAGCTCCTGTATAGGCTCATAAGCCAGTGAGACCAGGTACTAGAAGAATATCGCACCGAGCTTAATCCAGGATTGGTCAATGCAGTGATGATAGGGTAGCGCGGGGCACAAAGTAACGCAGGGCTAGTTGTAACACGCTTGTTTTAAATACTTCGGGCATGACGAAACTTGTTGTATTTACTAGTTGCCATTTCAACACTATATAGAGAAAAAAATGCGCCAAAATAGCAAAAGTACATTTCTTACTTAAGTTAATTTTTCATCTCTATTTTTGTGTTTATTTAAAATTAGACAAATCTGATATTTTAATCTCCAATCTGTTGCTTAACAGTTGATATCATTCTTTAATGCTTTGTTAGACACTAGCAGGGTTTTAGGGTTGTGCAGTTGGGGAATGTTGTTTTCGATTAGATGAGATAGAATTTTAAGCTGTCATAATGGTTGATGTTACAATGTGCCCCTCAAATGTTACAATGGACTCCACCTATGGGGCATGCTGTCACATTTGTCCCACTTGTACTAGACATGTGGGAAATTAATGTGGGAAAAATGTATACTCTAAAACCTAAGTAGATTTACACAAACTGAGAGAGTCAAAAAGCATTAGGTTGTGCCCCGCTCTCCCCTACTGTTCGCCTGTAACCAGTGTTATGCCTGAACGCGTTCATATTTTGGGCGAATGTGAACTGAACGAACTGTATTACTGCCTGAAGAACATTACTGTGAACGCGTTCATTCTGGAATCGTCAGAGCCAGTCTTCGAACAAGAGCCAGAGCCAGTCTTGGAGCAAGAGCCAGTGTCTCTGGACAAGATGGCCGTTGCCAAGCCAGTGTCTCAGGACAAGTTGGTTTCTGCAGAGCTAGTGACTTAGGACAAGATGGTCTCTACCGAGCCAGTGTCTCAGGACAAGATGGCCGTTGCCTAGCCAGTGTCTCAGGACAAGATGGCCGTTGCCAAGCCAGTGTCTCAGGACAAGATGGTCTCCGCCGAGCCAGTGTCTTCGGACAAGATGGCCGCCGCCGAATCCTGCCCAGCTCAAGGCCCTCTTCGCCGCTGTTCCTGTCCAGCTCAAGGACCTCTTCATCACTGGTCCTGCCCAGCTCAAGGCCCTCTTCGCCGCTGGTCCTGCCCAGCTCAAGGCCCTCTTCGCCGCTGGTCCTGCCCAACTTAAGGCCCTCTTCGCCGCTGGTCCTGCCCAACTCAAGGATCTGTTCGCCGCTGGTCCTGCCCAGCTCAAGGACCTGTTCGCTGCTGGTCCTGCCCAGCTCAAGGACCTGTTCGCCGCTGGTCCTGCCCAGCTCAAGGCCCTCTTCGCCGCTGGTCCTGCCCAGCTCAAGGCCCTCTTCGCCGCTGGTCCTGCCCAGTTCAAGGACCTGTTCGCCACTGGTCCTGCCCAGCTCAAGGCCCTCTTCGCCGCTGGTCCTACTCAGCGCT